TGACCACTAACAGTCATGCACGACTACAGGGTATCAATCCGAAGAGAAGCAGAAGGACTTGCGAGCCACGGCTTCAGTTGCTGTGCTCCAAACAAACGGTATTACTACCCACACACACACACACACACGAGGACTTGCAGTTGGTCTACCTCCATGTCCTGGTTGCCATTTGGCTCTAATGCCGTTATTTAGTTTTAGCATACGAGCAGCTTTTAAAGGTTATCTCATTTCGGCCATTCTTTTGTCTTTTTGTTGTGCGTTGCCGCTGAAAAAACAATAAAATCGCAGCAACAAAAAAAGAAAACAAATCCCCACAAAAAATGCAAATAAAACAACGGACGTAGTGGAAGAGAAAAGCTTAAAATGCAAAGCGCATTCAACGCTAAAATATAAATGTATGTGTGAGCACACGTGTGCAAGTGCACCGGTACATTTCTGTGTGTTAGTGCTCTGGCATATGCTGGCCGGCTTTTGGTCTCCGTGTGTGTGTGTGTGACCGCTCCTTCGTTATGTCCGTGTATTGGTTGGCGGTGAAGTTTAACGATTTCCCTTTTGCCGTTTCTTTGACAACCGGAAAATGCTCGAGGCATTGCCAGGCTTAAAATTGGCTAGTTAAAAGCTTTCGCGGCTCTGAAGGAGGTGCTGCCCATTCTACAGTTCTAGAAAGCTCTCTTCAAGCCAATTAGGAATGTCCTTTAATGATAAATTATACACAAATAATTGTCTAATGCTTGTAGTTTCCCTGGTTTAATAAGCTATCTTTCAACGGCCTGAGCTTTCACATCTTTTAAATTGTCCTATTCATATGAACAAGTGTATTTAGCAACAAGTACACAAGTTACTTACGCGCCCAGCATTTTCTGCGAACTATATATAGGTTAGTGCCTGCTCTTTGAAATTATAACTTATTTATAATTCAATACAAGGTCACGCTTTGGTCACGCAATAAGGCAAGCAAACATATCCGAGTAATTAAACGATCGTTAGTTAAATGCTTTGAGCATTAGGCACATATAAATACCTAGGATAGCAGCGGAAAATGCTATCTTTTAGTAATTGCTTCGTAATTGATGTCCATTCCAACCTAGTTTCGCTCGCTCTAGCTTAACAGAAATATTTGAAAGCAAAGCGTGAGCTTAGCTCAAATTTGCTGTTTGTTTTAAATGACAACAGATTGACAACGCAAACATAAACAACGGCATGCGCTATAACAACACTATTAATAACCAAAATACAAGGCAAGCAACCCTGATTCGGATCCCCATCCCGCTGCCCACCGGCTTTCTTGCCCCAAAGCGTTGCCAATGTCAACCGTCACGAACACCCCAACAAGCCCACCCCCTGGCAACTCCATCCCATTGTCTTCGGCGTTTTCAATGCCGGCGCACATAAAAATTCCGGCTACGTTTACGGCGTGGACTACGCTTATAAACAAAGTTTGTTAATATTCCTCAGCCAACGGACGCGCAATTCGCCTCGCATCTCGCCCGTGAAAATCTAGTCTAGTTTAAAGCGCGCAGGATGCGGAAATCACTTTCAAGAGTCCAGAAGTAGTACGGCATTTGAAAATCAATTTTCCCAACAGTTATTGAATGCTCGTCTATGGACAAATGGTTCGGAGAGAAACGTCTCTGGCTGTTTGGTAACCACCTTCCACTTCTGCCCAGAAGGTAAGTCGAACTTGGCATTGCATTGCATTGAATGGTAACAAAAAGTGCTAACCAAACGTGTGCGCATTGTTTTGGCCTAAACTTGAACTTCAAGATTGGCGCGCAGATAAAGTGTTGGCCCTGAGTAAGGCCTTGTGAATATCCTTACAGTACATAGTAATCATCGTATGAAAACATTGTGGGACTCGTTCTCTAACTAACATTCAGATACCTCCTTCAAGCGCCCCAAACTGACAGTTAAAAGCTACTCAACTTACACAAGATCTAACCAAGAAGCCACAGGGCCAAAAAGGACAAAAAACTCCCATCAAATTGAATTTCAATCAAAGCGAGTATATGTGCACGGGAAAAAGCTGCAGAAGAACAAAAGCAAGAAGAGAAGAAATCAAGTACAGAGACATCAAATTGCATTGAAATGCGTTCGTTGCTTGGATTTGTCGCCAACTTCACCCCACTTACCATCCGAATTCTGACAGGCCAGACAAGCAGCTTTGAAAGAATATTGCATACTTATGGGAGCGCATGATGTAGCGGTTTTTAATGCTTTTGATCCAAGTAGACGAAAACCTTTTTTCGGCAAATGTCAACGACACTTGCGCTTCTGCTTGAAAATAACAGAAATCTATGTGCGGCAGTTTCAGGGGAAATGCTCTTGTTAGATACATATCCGACTAAAGAGACAAAAATATTGCCAGGCAGACTGTAAGCAATTGATTGATACCTAACACTTGTGCTCGCTCTCTTGTTTAGGTAAAGATTCTTGATTCATTTCATTTAGGATTTGATTGAGAAGATGGATAGTACTCCAACACTATAAAATGTGCAAGACAAGCTGATTAGCACAGAAGACACGAGGACCATGTGTTTAAGATACTTTCTTATTTTATAAGTGCGTAAAATACGAAGGGTAATTTATCCTTGGCTTGCGGGCTTGCAATCTCGTTTATATTTACATGTTTTGGCATTATTCAGATTGCTATACCAAGGCTCCAAGATCTCGATGAAAAAGGATCGCCTCGATTAGAGTTCCCAATCAAGATGTTTTATTTATATATTTGTAAATGATATAGTGGGACTGTTCAACACACTTGGCGAAAGGACTTTTCAGCAGTCGCGAGTTAGATTCGCGTTTTCAGGCCGCCAGCATTCGTTGGTTCTTTCATGGCATTTGACAGTCGCCCCCATTCCCACAGCAGATCCCAAAACTCATAGGTGCCCGACTCACCTTACATAATTGAATCCCCTCAAGCCGCTTTTTCCCTCCAGTTTGCACCACTGATTCCGTGCTGCTCGCAGTGGCATGTGGCAAGCTCTGCCTCAGCCTGGCCTGTGACTCCCAATCGCCTGCCGTCGCAACTCTCACTTCTCGCATAATGCGGCTGACTCATTTGCATGTTCCTTTGGCTTCCCCGGCCGCATTTTTTCTGACCCAAAAAAAATCTTAAACAAAATGGAAAAGCAATGCCGGCACGAGACACGTCAGAAACAGAGCCGTTTTCTGCACCTGCCTGAGAAGGAATGTCGCTCCATGCATAAAGTATTCATGATGTCCGTTGCATTTCAAATCATGTATCGATAAAATAAATAGACGGGAGACCGCCCAAGTGAACCTTAGTCATCCTGGGACCCTGCAGCCGTGCGAACGCTTGGCGAGGTGCAATGTTTCACAGCTCCACGTTCTACTTGCCGCAGTCGTTTCAGAACTCCTTCCTCTACCGGCTCATTCAGAAGATCCAGGTGTGCCATGAGCCGGACTTAGTCGAGACCAGGCAGTACAGGTGGGTCGATTAGCGCCGTTCGTGGCCCTAATTAGCTTTGCCAACTTTTTGCGGAATGAAAGTGAAATACAGTGCTAAAACGGGCCCAAAAGGATAAACTTTTCCCAATGACATTTGAGTCGGTGCTGTAGGAGCTGGTGGAGCTGGTGTTGCAACGGCCTTGGCCTTTGATTTCACACGCATATGCCTTCTTCGTCCTCCAGCCGCATCAGCTCCTCCATCCCCGTAAGTAGGCAACGCTTTTTGCACAGACCTCGCACAAAGTTTGGGACACTCGGTGCGGTGCGTGTGTGAGCATTCGGCATTAATGGCTTGTTATTTATTGCATTTTACGCTTGTTTTCCCAAAGGCCACGTCAACACGGCCCTTACCACCAGCCCGCAATATTTATATGGCCTAAAGGTTCAGGGACTTTGCAAGGCAAAGTGTGGGCTTTGCTAAAAAACTTTACTGGCTTGACATATGATTCCTATTTTCGCAAGCACAGACACTTGAAATAAACCCACAAAGCGGCATTAGTTACATAAAAATATGTGTTTTATTACAATAAGGAAAACCGACTTCAGTAATGTTCTATCTTTTGTCTTTTCTATAAAGCCATTAACTAAATTTCGTTCATACGTTTTCTTATTAGCTGCAAAATGGGCAAAGATAAATGTTCCTTTTCCAAAAAATTTTGGAGTCCTAATTCCCGTTTCATTGTTATGCAACACCCATAACTACAAGTATTTCTTAGCCTCACAATTACAGGGGGTCAGTATCAGAATAGTAAATAAGCAAGGAGCCATTAAGCTGAAAGGCGTTGACCCCAACATAAAGTGCAAACATCGTGCCAGCGACGTGAACAAATAATTACGGTGGTGCGCAAACAACTACTCAGAACAATTAATACAAAAATATAATTAAAAGCCACAAGAGCCTAGAATAAAGGAAAAATCAAAGTGGGAAAGGTTAAAGTGCTTTCGCGGAAAACAAAAGCTGTCAAATGTATAAGCAGGCAAGCAGATGGTGTTGAAGTTGGAATGGGGTCGCCGGGAGTTCTCTGTAATTATGCAAATGAAATTGGAGAAACCAGTGGGGTGCTGTTACACTTCTTAAAGGTGAACTCCTAGAAAACCACTGATCTAAAATAATATCCTGGTCAAAGTATTATTTATATATATACCTTACTTATTGCTTATACAGTATGCGTGATAATGGTCCTTAATTTATGTTCGACGCTCACCTTCGTGTTTTTCCACTGCACTTAAATGCATTATTAATGAAACACGCAAGAGCAAAACAAACAGAAGCATAGGAATCAAAGTCGCCATTGGCCAACGCGGCGTATGTGCGATGTCCTCTGATGCAATCGAGCTGCTACCAACTCCGGCGCTCTCCAAACTCGTTTCTAACCAAAAGCAGCTCAGTCGTTTGCCGGCTCTTAACGTCTTCACATCGTGTAGTTCTGCCAAAAAGTTATCGTGCTTTTTGTTTGGCCCCCAGTGAAGTAAACACGAAAACAAACCAAATATAGACAAAAGGTGAACTGGAAAAAATTGGATATTACCATGAAAATGTTCGAGATATCGAAATTGTTCTCACTGCGAAGGTATGAGCATTTATACAAAAGAATAAATACCCAAAAAAGGGAAAAAATTTACAATTTCTTGTTGATTATTAGCATAACTTTCTTTCGAGCTAATAAAAGTTTGTGATTTGCCGTGAAAGTTTTAAAGTCAGGACAGCTTCGAAAAACAAACCATTAAGTGACCCCTGGCAGGCAAATTAGCTGCGCAGCAATACAAAAGTTACTCAACCAGGAAGAGCCATCCCTAATACTGTTATAATTGCACAGCGATTCAAGCATTAATTAGTAATAAGGACCCCAAATAGAATCCGACCCGCAGCGGTCACGCCAGCGCCAGTCACGACAAACTTATTGCACTGCTGCACCAGTTTAGCTTTATGGAATCCTCCAGCAATCTGTGTCAAAGAACCCGGTTCGTAAGCCACTCCTCGCCTTCTTCTGGCCAAAGGACTCCAGCAGGTAACCTCAAAATGAGCAGGGAAAGGAGCTGGGAAAGCCAGAGAAGCACACCTTGAATGTCTTCCGGTAGTCGCTAGAAAAAACAACAAAGGGGAGAAACTTCTTGAACAACTTTGTGGCAACTGCGCATGGATTTGGTTTTGTTGTGGTTTTTTGCTTTGTTAACTTTGGTCGCATTGCTATGACATTGGCCAGTGGGTTGGCTACGACCTGGGACATGGGGCCCGGGCTGCTCCAGCGATTCCCCCATTCAGTGTTCGGTTGTCAGACAAAACATACGTCCGCTGAAGCGGTCTAACCATTCAAATATTTATTGATCGACAGGCTTAGCGGAGTATTTGGCGCATGGTGTGTATCGTAGACTCCCCAAAAGACTTTAATCAAATATAAATCCAATTCATTCACAATGCAATATATAAACCTAGTGGCAAATACGTCAGATATTAGCCAGATGGGTGCCTAGGTAAGTCATCTGCTTGCTACGTTTTCGGTGTCCTGTGTTGCATCCCCTTATTTGTGCCACCCACCACCAGCACCACCAGCACACAAATATTTAATTGCATGCCATGTTTATGGCCCACACGCATGTTGGCAAAGATGCAGAACGCCCAAGTAGGGTTCAGTTACCCCGTTTAAGGTTTGTGGCTGGCATTGAACTGTCAACCCGTGAAGTCCTCGACCAGCCCGGTAATGCCAATTTCAAAGGGAACACGCTCTCGAACACCTGGGGCTAAAATCGATTTGGTTTTCGTGTTCACGCTAGGAAGTTAATTACCCTTGGTTCCGAATCCAGTTCAAAATGGTCAGACAAATAAGTTTTTCCTAATCTTTTTTATACGGAGCAAAGGAATTCGTTAATTCCTACACTTGCAGTAACCAATTCCACACGGGGCTATTTTTACTTGGGTCAAAAAAATCGATTTAGTTCTCGTGCTTATAAATGGCAGACGGTTAATGATTAGGTTGTGTATCTAATGGCAATTGAATGTCTACAATATCGATTTATTTGATTAGCTATATGACCATAAGACCACATTTAGAAGGGTAAAAGTTGGCAGGAAGAAATGTATATTGATGTACTTCGGCACATATAATTTAGTATCTGTATCTTTTCCATATTGTTGAATCCGTAAACATTTGATTTCTTTTCACAACTCCTCTGCCCAACTTGTGTTCACCAAAATTTACGTTCGAAATAAATAACTCATTCTAAACGTTTTCTCATTTGCTGTTTGTTTCATTCCATCGAAATCAACTAACCAAATCATACCGAATTCGTGAAATCAAACCTCCACAATGTTCTGGACATGCCCAAACCAAAACCTATTCCATATAGTAACCTGTAAATATGCATACACATCAAATCGCAAGACAGCCCTTGAAAAAATAACAGATCGAATATCAATCACCCCATATCGCATACCCTGTGAGTCCACATGTGTTCGTGTCTGAGCTATCAAACAGAAAAATTCTTAAACATTTTGTGTGCCCAATGCAAAGCAATGCGACGTGCAAACATCAAACGTGGTCAATGTTTGAGCTTAAGGTAAAATCCACTCCTAACTCAAGCTGAGCGTTAGCCGCAATCGAGGCGGGAATTCCGGAATAACTCTTGCCTGTTAACTTCCTTGCAGACCACAAGGTAGCAGCAAAATGGATCGCTACGAGAAGCTCAGTCGGCTGGGCGAGGGCTCCTACGGCGTGGTCTACAAGTGCCGGGATCGGGAGACGGGCGCCCTGGTGGCGGTCAAGCGGTTTGTGGAGTCCGAGGACGATCCGGCCATTCGAAAAATCGCACTCAGAGAAATTAGGCTACTGAAGGTACTGAATCCTTGACTTAGTCACGGATACCTTACTCACGAAACTCACATTTCTTGCAGAACCTGAAGCATCCGAACCTGGTCTCCCTGCTAGAAGTGTTCCGACGGAAGCGGCGCCTCCACCTGGTCTTCGAGTTCTGCGAGCTGACCGTGCTGCACGAACTGGAGCGCCACCCACAGGGCTGTCCGGAGCACCTGACCAAACAGATCTGCTACCAGACGCTGCTGGGCGTGGCCTATTGCCACAAGCAGGGCTGCCTCCATCGCGACATCAAGCCGGAGAACATTCTGCTGACGGCCCAGGGCCAGGTGAAGCTGTGCGACTTCGGCTTCGCCCGGATGCTCAGTCCGGGTGAGAACTACACGGACTACGTGGCCACCAGGTGGTACCGGGCGCCGGAGCTGCTGGTGGGCGACACCCAGTACGGCACACCCGTGGACGTCTGGGCCATCGGTTGCCTCTTCGCCGAGCTGGTGCGTGGCGAGGCCCTCTGGCCAGGACGCAGCGACGTGGACCAGCTGTATCTGATCCGCAAGACGCTCGGCGACCTGCTGCCGCGCCACATCCAGATCTTCGGGCAGAACGAGTACTTCAAGGGCATCACGCTGCCAGTGCCGCCCACGCTGGAGCCGCTGGAGGACAAGATGCCGGCCAAGTCGCAGCAGAATCCTCTGACCATTGACTTTCTCAAGAAGTGCCTGGACAAGGATCCAGCCAAGCGCTGGTCCTGCGAGAAGCTGACAAAGCACTCCTACTTCGACGACTACATCGCCAAGCAGCGGGAGCTGGAGCACGTCAACAGCCTGGAGGCGGCCAATCTCCGCCAGCAGCAGCTCGCCTCCCAGCAGTTCATGCTGGCCACGGCGGCCCAGCAGCTCCAGACGGGTCCTGCCCAGGCGGCGGCCATCGCGGCGGCAAGGGATAAATCAAAGGTACGCACTGCACTCCTCTCAAAGGACAATTAACGCAGTTCCCATGTCCTTTCATTGCAGACTTCAAACACATCACTACCGCTGCTGCCCAGCACGCAGCATCACCACCATCCGCATCAAGATTACGTGAAGCTGCAGCCCCTCAACAAAAATGCAAACCTGCTCCATCGCACCGAGCATCATCTGCCCACCATTTGAGCTTCGGCGGGGATTGTAACGCAGTAATGTCCTTCAGCGAAATTGAACTTATTTACTGCTGGGAATAAATGTGTAAAAGTAATCCATTAATATATCACTGGGCGGAACGCTGGCAAACACTTGGCAACTCATCCCTTCGGAGCGAACTGAATTAGTAACTAAGTCTAAAGTGCAATTTTCAGCTATCATCAAATAAAATGTGCTACATAATGTTTTATTCCATAAATTTTCAATTCAGCTAGTCCATGAGATTCGCAAATCACTCCGAGTTAATCTTTAATTCACTTTCCAGTTGCGTCCTGGCTCGAATCCTTTTCAGCCTTGCACACACACGTACATTGAATTAAAAATCCTTGCAGCACGTCGACTAGTCAAACGGTTACATTCCACCTCCCACTCCCACCTACTTGTTGAGCCTGGCCAGAATCCACTCTCCATATATTCAGCCAGGAGCGGATTAGAACTGCGTCCTAGGGAGTCTAAAGGAATTATATGATTTATTTGATATAAAGCCTAAATTATCTTTAGATTTCGGTCAGTATCCAAAAAACGCTGGCCAGGATTTGTTAGGTACATTCTATCCGAGGCCCTCTTTTTTAAGGTTCCGCTCCTGACGAATCTCACCTGCCCTCCTGGCTTCCGCACCACGTTCTTTGGCAGCTTAATCCAGTGCTAAGCACACGGCAGATAATCAGCGACACGTATCGCCTTTCGTGTATCCTAGTCGTGTCCTGAGGACTTTGTTGATGTCCTCCCAGGAGCTTCAGAAAGCGTTTGCCTTGAAGACGCTGATGAAAGGATTAGACAGGCTTATTGCACTCTAGGACTATTCTGAGGAAGGGCCAAGCCAAAATAATATTAATGATGGAACAATACCACGAGTTCGGCACAGAAGATGGTGCAAGATTGAAGCCATAGAATTTGAGGCACTATTAAATCAGCTAATATGAATTCTTGGAACTGCCTAACAAATGCCCAGTTTTCAGCAGGGATGCAATATTTTCCGACAACTTTTAATTAAATTATAAAAAAGTTGCTAGAACACAAGCTGCATTCCCAATGGCAGCAGTCAACAAAAGTGTCAACACATATCGCAGAAATCTCCTGGGCACAAGTCATGTCCATGTGGCCCGGATTTTTGTTGGCAGATGCTCCGAGAAGCAATGGGAAAATAAAGGAGAAATTGAGAATATCGTTGGATGCCAGCACCGCATTCCCAGCATTATCCACTGCGACTCATGCTCCATTGCCAGCATCACCAATTGTTAAGTATTTTGATTTTTGTCGTTTGGCCAACACAATAGAATGGTTCACCGAATGGCCACCAACGCTGTCTGCAACTTGCCTGCTCTTTTCCATTTTCCCCGCCGCTTTTCCGGTCGCGCTGTGCCCTTGCTGGGGAATGTAAAATGGGAAAAGCATTTGTAAGTCGAACCGGCCATTGAAGCATCCCGCTTCCTGGTCGAGCAGGATATGCAAAGTGTCTCCCAGACAGTTGCATAATCTGTAGTGCCGTTTATGCAAAGTGCCCGCCAAAAGCCCGGGCAGCCAAATCCAGGGAGCTGCAAGCCCTCCTCCTCCTGGGGGAGTCAAGGACATCGCACAGCTCGGTGAATTGCCGAGCGAGGAATCGAAGACTTATCCAGTAAGCAGATGGGGCTTTTTACACATTCACGCTGTTTGCTTTCATGGAACTTACGAAACTTTAGCTTTACAATTTACATTCCTCAATTTCTTTCTTTTCATAATGTTGAATGTTTGCGACAGCTTCAAAGTTGCTTAGGCTTAGTATAAAACTGTTTCAGTGATATATATTGCTCAGTTAATTTGTATATTTAGCTAACTATTCCAGGGATCAGCGGTCAGTACCATCGGTGCATCTGGTTCTCGGCGTAGCGGCGATTCAGCTCGCTCTTGCGCTGCACATCGCCGCCGACTCCGTTGAGCAGCTCCTTGGTGTGCCAGTTGCGGTAGACGGCCGGATCCGGCTGGAGGTCGTCTCCGGTGGCCAGGGCCTGCTGCTGCCACCACTTCAGCGGGGGCTGCGGATAAGCTGCCTGCACGGGCAGCACGGACACCACCGGCGGCTGACGGCGTGGCCAGAGGCCCAGCTTGCTCAGGCGCTTCTCCTCGTCGACGTTTGTGTCCTGCATGTCGTGCATGCGCAGCACGTGGAGTGGCTGCTCGAAATCCTTCGGGCGAGTGCTACGCATGGCCAGCGGCTGGAAGGGATCGTCGCCATAGAGCTCGCGGTAGCGGTCGCTCTTCACCAGCCCGATGATCTGGAACATGGCCACGCAGGTGCAGGCATTGTAGCCCACAAACACTGGGAGAAGTGGGTGGAGAGTTGCTTGTGATTCAATGAACAGAAAACTGGCGACACTTACGTATATAGAAGCAGCCCAGCAGAGTGAGGATTATGAGAAGGCCCAGATTAATCAGCTTCTTGAGCATGATCATCAGCACAATGTGAAGAAACGTAATGTTTATGAAGTAGGTAAGCTCGCCGAAGGCCAAGGGTAGTATAAACCATTTCCGCAACTGATTAGGCAAACAACCCTTTGGTAAGAGTAAATCCATTGAAAGCAGCAGCCCAAACATACCTTAATAGCACCATAGATACTTAAGAGGGCCACTGACACATGGGCATAGGATACCAGGTGAATAAGTGCAGTCACAAGCTCGGGATCTGGAAATACAAAGTATTTCGTAGAATACAATTTTAAGTGCCGCCAAGATACCCACCGTTTTCACACCAACTGATGTACTTTCGAACCCACTTCCTGTCCTTATACTCCGCGTCGTGCTCGAACAAATCGATTATAGGCTCGAAAACCTTGACGCCCAGCGCAAAAAGCGTAATGCTATGGGCCAGTTCTCGGATCTGAAGGCGGAATGGGCAAGTTTTATGGGGAAGAAAGAGGATTTGTTGTACTTACGATGGTCAGCACGGAAACGATAATGACGCCCAGACGCACCGAGCAATAGCACATATAGGATTCCATCAATAACATATTGAGTGTGGTATTACCGGTAATGTCGGTCCGTAAATCAGAACTGAGTACTCCGTGTGGCAGTCAGTCAGCCACATAGGAGCCACAAATGCGCACTAATTGCCCCCAGCAAATGACAAAACCATGTACAAGATGCCAATCTGAATACTGGCGGTAATTGACTTCATATTCAAAGCGTCAGATTTCGGCTCGAATGGCCAACATACATCATTCGCTGGCCAGATCTCGACTGGAAAACCACGGAATGTCGGGCTCAACTGCTTGCCCAGTTGCTTCTGGTTCTGGGACAACATGGTGCTCATGGAGAGCTACTTCTTCTGCGCCTCGGTGCGACTGGGTGTCCTGGTCACTTGCATCGCAGCCACCGTGGGTTTTGTCCTATACATTGCTCCGTTGCCTGGCAAGCCCAGTTTTTCTCCCCTTTTTCAGGTGAAAAATACCATCCTCATGTGGCTGATATTCGACGACGGAACATCTTTCCTTTCCTTCCTTGTCAACGTACTGGAAACTCATTATAGGACCAGCACGATTGTCAAGGAGTCCGTTGCCTGGGCGGAAAATTGTAAGTATAAAATACACTACTATACATATTAAAAGAAATCTGGAAATTACATCCTTTTATACCCTGCAGATTCCAAGGAGCTCATGATGTTTATTCAACTCTACAGCTCTTGCCACATTGCAACTTGCATATTGGCGGCCTATGGCGCATTCAAGGTCGGCTTTTACATGGTTTCAGTTAGTATAGAAGCATAATTAATGTTATTAATCTTTATGTAGCTCAAGAAATATCACGCTATACCATTGGCGATCTTCGAGTTCCTCTACACAGTCCAGGTGGTTGTGCTCGTCATTATATCGCTGCGGATTGCCAGACATATAGTGCCACTGGCCACCTTGATTTTGATGACCGTGGGCCTCACATTCTACGCAAGTAGCATTCCAAATCTCCTAAGCCACACCTGTGTTAAATAGGTTTTTTTTTCAGTGCTCGTGGCCTACGACACGTTGGCGTTGATTGCCTTTGTGCAAATAATGTTTCTGGTGCGGAGCCAACGATATCGACGCCTTTACGGTCCGGATCCGCTGAACCCCGTGCCAAACGGAATGCAACTGCATCAAGTGGCATCCAGTCACTCGATCTCACAACAACCAATAATTATTTACGTAATGCCCAAGGCGGGTCAAAAACTGTGGGATGTGCCACAGTCGAAGTGGTGGCAGGATGAAAAAACTGACGTCGGCGTTCAACAAAACCGAGCTCACGAGGTGTCCTCTGATTTTTTCCAGCGGCAGGAGCTTTTGTCGGAAATTCTACTACGAAATGCCATAAAGAAGGACTATCTGCACAAAGAAAGATTTGCGATCTAGATAAATACGTGGTGCTCCATGACTACGAGGACATACCAGTATTTTTATTTAAATTTCTGTTCTATTTATTATACATTTATGCAATTACCTACTACATAGAGCAGAGGTCTTACTGACACCGGTGCTCTAAAATAAGGAAATAGGTGTTTTTCACTCTCATTGGATCACCAGCAAAGATTTTATATTTATTTAATATAACTATTTAATATTTAACACATATGTTGTACTTACATACCATTTGGTTTTAGTAAAACGTGTAATACCACATTTATACACACTCTTTTCCTGTAATGGAACATTATTAAGGAAATGTCACGTCCTGCAGGCGGCGCTATCTCCGAAGAGTATACGATATTCGGGTTCGATTTTGGCCTGGATAAATTTGGTCATTTGCTTCGCGTATTGAATGCGAGTAGCGTCTCTTTTGCTGGATTGCTTGATGCCAGGACTGTGCACCAGAAACGCTGGACTCAAGACGTGGTATTCGTAGTCCAGAAGGCACATGGCGTAGTTCTGCAATCGCATTGGGAGTAGGAGTCTCGATCAGAGCCTTCGCTACAGTAGTCACTCACCTGTATGCGCTTATTGGACTGACCCTCCCAGGTGACGCGTTCGTCGAACAGTGGCTCCGTGTTGTCGCTGACGTAGAAGGGCTCCCAGGCTCGGAACTTCCACTTGCGCAGCGTCTTGCTGAACACGTGCAGCTGGTCATCGGCCCTGGAGGTGCGATTGAGCCACTCTGCCTGGCCTGGTATCGTGTGGCAAGTGGGGCAAAGCTTCAGGTGGAACACCTGTGCCTGCTGCTTGCGATGGAGGGCCAGCAGTTCGTCCTTGTTCGCCGGCACTTGGACACCCGTCTCGATCTCGAAAACGGGCAGCGGATACACCCTTCTCCGCTGCCTGGGATCCAGGGCCAGCACACTGTGATTTCGGGCCACCATGTCCAGGAACTGGTCCACGAAGCCCACGCTGGGATACAGCTCGATGTCGCAGGCGAAGATGAAGTGGGTGTTGGCCGCCTGCCTGGCTATGTTCCTGCCCACATTGATGGGGTAGGTGAGGTTCGCCCTGGACTTGTAGCTCGCCGCAGGAGGGATTCCTGCGTAGGGCGGCGATACCAACGTGCATATCTGCGGACACCTCAGCACCTCAGCCTCGTCGTATGGCACGTAGTCCGGCATGTGACGGTTCGGGAAGTACACGTGGAACGAGACCCAGTCCTTGATGCTATCGCTCTCCGGCAAGCAGTTTCGCACATACCGAATGGCATCCAGTGTGGTGTTCAGATCATAACCGGGCGAGTGGATGGCGAAACTTACTGGCGCACGCCAACTGCAAAATAAATGATTAATGGCAAAGTAAGCTATTATCTTACCGCAACTGTATCGCTGCTATTAAGTTTTTCTTTTTTTTTTTATAAAAGAGCACTTACCGTGAGACCACCATTTCGAGATTATCGAAGAACGTGAAATCCCCGTTGGTGGTGTACGTCACGGACTCGGCGCAGCCGACATCCCGACTCTTACGTCCAACCACTAGGTTCTGGAGCAGCCAGAAGTCTCCGTGCTGAAGCCTCTGGAAGCGGAGTGATCGGTTGCGGCACTTGAGCAATGATTGCAGCTCCTTGGTGCGAGGGGAGTCCTCCCGCCGGACAACTTTGGGCTGCTGATCATAGTCCGCATAATAGTTTGCAGGAGCCCTGGATGCATCCGAGTCGTTGGGCAGCAGAAATCCTACCGACTTGTGCCCACCGCCGTTTGAAGTTGCGGCAAGTTTCCGAGCCTGCTGCAAGTTCCTCCAAACCAGCAGAAGTGCCACACTGAGCAGTATGAGCACTGTCCACAGACGGACATATCTTCTATTGCAGAAACTTAGGCTCGCCATGCTGCATGGATTCAGGAACACCTTTGCTTGCAGGACACCAAACGCGTATTGAACTGTAAGCGGAAAAAAATATTGATATAAATCCTATATAAACATATGAAAATGCTACGTGCTTAACTGGATTTGGAAATCGGAAGAAGAGTTTGTGGCAGCAACAGAGCTTTTGGCTTGTAGTTGGGCCCAATTTACTGGCCCATTGTATAAACTGTAATTAGTTTGTACTCATCCGATAAGAATCCATTAAATGTGGTAGCATGCCAGGAAATTCGTCGATGTTTTTTAATGTTCTGATAATGGGCTGATCCAAAATGAAGATGCCTACCGCCTTTTACCAAGTCAGACTAAACCTGATTTACGTGGGCTGATAAAAACCGTCGCATTTATGGATTCATGCACTGAGAAAAACTGCGCAGAGCTCTTCTATCGAGTTGATTTAAGCATGCGACAAATTATACTGATTCTGTAATAGTGTATGATCATGAAATATATCAAGTTAATATAAAAAAGTTGCTGTTAGGACAGTTCAGGAAAGTTCAGTTGTCATTCATTTCCGTTTTGTTTGAATTTTGAAATATAATCACATTGTATAACGTACGAAACCACACAAATCGCTCGAAGGATTTTAAGACGAACAGTCTACGATGAATAATGAAAAGAGACTAAATTTACCAAAGCTATCAGTGTCGTACTTTACTATCCTTATCATATCAATTCAATGGCTATAAGCAATTGATAGCGCTAATCAAGTGTAACCAACTACCAGTCTAATCAACAGACAATAAAGTGGCTTTAACATACATTTCTAACTAAATCAATTATCCGTTATCTATCACTATTATCAGCGAAATCACTTTAAAACCTTTTAAAGTGCATTAAAAATAGTATTGCACATTGCGTTTTTATGTCAAGTACAAGCTGCGTTATTTTTAATAGGGAGCTGGAAACCATTTCGAAAGAATTGGTTACCACATATAAAGTAATAAATAAATAATTAGAAACTTATGATAATCAAAGAATTTAAAATAATGTTGGCGCCCATCTGCGATACTTATCGCGCATTTTTACATGGATTGCACTATCGATAATATTACCGATAGTTGAATTGCAAGTGATGGGCCATCCCTATTGGCAATGGTGCGTTTGTTTACATTCATAGAACTTTCAGTTTCAGCTTTAAGTAATATATTCACGCCTAGCAAGAATGTCGGACAACGAGTATGAGCGTTTCGAGATAACGGACTACGACCTGGACAATGAGTTCAACATCAACCGGCCTCGTGGCCGCCAGAGTCGGCACCAACAGATCTACGGTACGTAGAGAAGTTCCGCCGAGATTTAGTTAGAAAAGTAACTTTTCGCAGGTATTTGGGCGGATGACAGCGAGGAGGAGAGTGGTGGCGAGGCCGCAGCCACACGAAGGGGGCGCGCCGCCCGCAAGCCCAAGGACTACACCATGCCCGTCAATTTTGTGGCCGGCGGCATTCAGCAGGCGGGTAAAAAGAAGAAGAAGGCGCTAAAAGCCGATGATGACAAAGGTACGCAAAGAGAGGGCGCCGAGGAGGACCAGGGCGAACAGAGCGACGACTCCGCCGCCAGCGGACGACCAGCCTTTGGCCAGAACGACCCGGGCAGCTCCAACAGCTCCGCGGAAGAGGAGAGGCCATCGCTGGGCCGGAAACAGGCAAACACCACATTTCAGCACCGCTCCCACATCGCCAGCGAGCGCAACGTGGGCGCCTGGGAGCAGCATACACGCGGCATCGGAGCTAAGCTTCTGCTCCAAATGGGCTATGAGCCCGGCAAGGGTCTGGGCAAGGACTTGCAGGGCATCTCGCAGCCGGTGCAAGCCCATGTACGCAAGGGCAGAGGAGCTATTGGCGCCTATGGACCCGAAACTGCCGCAAGCATCGGAGGAAAGACGAACAAGAGCATCAAAGTGGATGAGGACGTGCGCGAGGCAAAAGAGTTCAAGGACCAGCTGAACAAGTGGCGAAAGGTCTCAGCCGGTGGGGCCGATACGGTAGAGCGGCAGGGTAAGCGCTACTACTACAAGTCCGTGGAGGAGGTGATTGCCAAGGGCCACACGTCCCACCACCTGCTGTCGGAGAAGCTGAGCAAGAAACTGGGCAATGTGCCGGTGATCGATATGACAGGCCCAGAGAAGCGAGTGCTGAGTGGCTATCATGCCTTGGGACAGGCCAAAATTACGCCAGAGGAGACGCTCTACGAGGCGGAAGCAACGGAAAAGGGATCCGCGCCCGTCTGCGTATTTGCCATGCCCGAGCTGACGCACAACCTGCAGCTCTTGGTTAGCCAGTGCGAGCAGCAGATCATCGCCATCGACAACCAAGAACGCGAGTGCTCCAGCCAGCAGGCAGCGCTGGAGAGCGAGCACCGGAAGCTGGAGGAGATCGTCCAACTAGAACGAAACCACATACGCACGCTGGAGGAATCCCTTGACCGCGTGGAGCGGTTAAGCGAGAATCCAGATCTGAGTTTGCCTCAGGCGGAACGTCTCTTTCGCGAGTTGCTCGTGGACTACGCCGCCGAATTCCAAGAGTTCGGGCTGGCAGATCTTGCAGCGGGCGTAATAGCGCCGCTTCTGAAGAGGGAACTAGTTCAGTGGCAGCCACTGGAACAGCCAACGGAGCCGCTGCAGCTTATTAAGAAATGGCGTGGGATGCTCCAGCAAGGCGATGCCGCGGAGCAGCAGCCCCGCAACGTCTTCGATCCGTACTCCTCGCTCATCTGGGCCGGAGTGATGCCTTCGTTTCGGACCAGCGCCGCCGCATGGCAGCCAAAGGAACATCCGCCGATGGCTGCACTCCTGGACGCCTGGGCTCCCCTGCTACCCAGTTGGGTTTTGGATTCGGTTCTCGAGCAACTGGTTCTGCCACGATTGGCGGCTGGAGTCCAGGAGTGGGACCCGCTCACCGACACCGTCCCAATCGACAGTTGGGTGCTGCCCTGGCACGCCATCTTGGGCAGTAAGCTGGAGGAGGCCGTCTATCCTCAGATCCGCAGCAAACTGGGCGTGGCATTGCGCGCCTGGTCCCCGCAAGATCGGTCCGCTAGGGCCATGCTCACGCCCTGGCAGAAGGCCTTCCCCAAGGAGGAAATGCAAGAGTTCCTGCAGCGGCACATAGTGCCCAAGCTGCAGGCGACTTTGGGCGAGTTCATTATCAACCCACTGCACCAGGACCTGGAACTGTGGCAGCAGGTGTGGGAGTGGCACGAGCTCATCGATCCAATGTACATGGCCCAGCTGCTGGACAGACACTTCTTCCCGCGCTGGATGCAGGTGCTCGTAGTCTGGCTGAATCAGTCACCGGACTACGCAGAGATCTCGCGATGGTACACCGGCTGGAAGAGCATGTTGAGTGAACCGCTTCTGCGCGAGCCCAGCATCAAGGAGCATCTGCGTCGAGCTCTGGAAATGATGCACAGAGCCAGCGATGCCCTGCTGCAGCCGACGGTCACGCCCACGCCCCCGCCTCCAGTTCCTCCGGCTCCAGTCATAATGATGGACCTGATTCATCCGCCCGCCCAGCTGGAGTTCAAAGAGCTGGTGTCGCAGCAATGCGCCGACTTGGGAATCATCTTCGCTCCTCTGCCGGGGCGACGAGAGTTGGGCAAACAGGTGACTGAAAATTCGTTTTTGACCACAGACACTTATATTCTAAACGCATTTTTGACCTGATTCACAGATTTATCGCGTGGGCAAGCTCTTTTGCTTCATCGATCGTCACGTCTGCATGGTCAGCGATGGAAGCTTTAGCAACTGGAAGCCGGTGGCACTGAATCATCTGCTGGAACGCTCTCAAACGGGAATCCTTTAAATAAATATTTATAAATGTATGTTATTTAATTCCGTGCTCCCTTCAGAGCTCTTACTATAAGGATATTGTTTGATGAGGCACCGCGGCAAATATAGACAAACGTGTAAATTTCCACATCCGATTCCCTAAATAGGAAAATAGATTTCAATATTTTTGAAATTGAAAGGATATATCCCAGTTTTACACCACGGTTTGGGTCTGAGCTGCATGTTCTATGAATTTAAGGTGTAAGTATACTGACAGTATTTTTCGGTATTTATGGAATACCGTACAATGGAAGCAGACATATTGTAATGTTGATACTTTTGAATTATACTAAAACGCGTATCTTTGTAAGGCTTTGCTTTTTATTAATTTCTTATTTAAACAATTCTTAGAAGAATAATAAAACATATTTTGAGAGCAGGAGCAACCCTTGAAAGCCATCGATTCAGCAGGGTATCGATGCCAGAAACAACGATGCTATCGACTGGTATCGGCCCGCTTCCACCTCTGACTCGCCATCGCAGCTGACTCTAGAACGCGTCGGTGAAATAGGAATAAACTGACTGAGATCGCGTTCGGTTCGTGTTGCGCACGGCAAAGCTAGGAAGTACTGAGCCAAATGCGGTTCGAAGCGGTGCAGTTAACTGAAGCTCGCGCAGTGCAATACGACTGATTGTAAATCCAAGACACCAGAAGCACTACTATCGCGATAAGCACTGCTAACAAATTGAAACCGCGTGTCTTTCGTTTCGCTTCTCCCGCTCTTTCGTTGCACTCCGCCCACACTATTCGCCAATGCAGTCGTGAGCGCGTGTGTGTGCGTGCGTGCGTATTCCCCCCGAAATTCAATGAATTCGACAAGCAGTGCAATAAAAGGGCAACTAAAACAAAAGTGATTCCACCACGTGCGCCGCTCTCTCGCGTCTTAAGTTCAGTTGTTGTAGCTGCTTTCGTTTGTTTTGCTGGCGTCTCGCTCTAACGGCTTCTTCTGCTAAATTTACCGTTCGCCGAGCAACCGGCACGCAAAAACCCGTTGGATTAGGACTAATTAACGGGACACCCACACAAGGACATCAAAATGGTGCAGGTGTGTAATATATTTAATTTTAATGCAAAGCAACATATATTAGGCAAGTTTTAATTGCAATTTACTAATATTTCTTAAAATTTGGAAATATCTAAATAACTAAGTTGCAGGAATTAAGTGTGAATAAATCATTGAAATCATCTTAAATACAGTAGATGAGATGAGATACAGGAGATGAGATACATTTTTTGCAATAAAAAGTACTGTTGAGAACAGTAGTAGTAGATGAATACTTTTTTTAAATGTGAATCCTAAAACTTGTATAAAAAGATGCTGCTTATGATTATCGAAACGATTATTTGACGTCAGATTTTGTGGTGATTTTGTGATTAAAGAAATAAATAACTAGATAAAGTTAGTTTCTGTCCAGTTTGGAATTGTTTAAAGTTTTACAAGAAAGAAATTTTATTCAATTTAACTTTTTGAACATGAGAAACATGTGCTAGAATTATTTCGTTGCTACAAATCATCCTAATTCCCTGTAGTTTTCGAAAAAAAAAATGATTTCAGGTTTCCAATTCAATGATATTCCACCCTGCCAGTGACCTTTTGACGTCATCACGCACAACCCCCATAATCCCAAAACGGGACACCACAGCTCAAAATGCACTTTCTAGCGACCATCCCGAGTCGATTCGCGCCTCACCACCCAACCCAACTCAGACTTAAACCACCCAAAAACCCAACACAACCCCCACTTCACCCCTGGTTGCACTTTCCCTAGCCCAAATCAACCACCAAAGCCGGAAAGTTTCGAAAAACATACAGCTGATATAGAAAACTGTCAAGCTTCCAGAGTACCAGAGTTATGGCAAATATGGCAATTAGAAATGGTTGGTCGTGCTTCGATATCGACAGACGTGGTCCGCCTGTACAGGTCGCTTCCGAACGTAATGCACATAAAACGGTGCATTTAGTCAATTTTTCCTCCAGCCAGGCGACCAACTGAATAGAGGAACATCAAATGTACTGGCACAATTTGGGGTTGATACTAGCTGACACCCTTTTTATTTCACATTCAGATTGAGATTATTTCAGATTCACAAGTCAAGAGAAATATACTTTAAACGGTTATCATCAATTATCTTTATTGGATAATGTTTATCGAAAACCATTACACTACTTTTAAGTTATTGTGCAAAGAACATGCAAAGAACATAAGCCATTGAACTTATTCTTGATACCCTGTACTCGTATATATGTGAAGAAACGAATCCTCTGGTTAGTCACCTGCCGCCGTTTCCCCGCGCCAAATGAGTGAAGTACCACTTTTCGATTTGAAATGCGTTTTGCGCCTGCCCCGTCCAACTGTCCACCCTGCCCCAACACCCCACCACCCCACCGCCCACTCATCACTGCATCCAGAGCCAGTCCAACCGCCTCCATCCACATGGTCGTCAAAGCGCTTTTTACCCATTTGCATTTGCATTTGCCGATGGACGGGCCCGGGCCGAGGAGTAGGTCCTTGGTCCTTCCATGTGGAGGTGGTGGTACTGGGTGGTGGGAGGTGGGCTATTGGGCAGTGTTCAGTGGGCAGTGGGTGGATTCATTGCGTTTTGCACTGCGCTTTGGACTGCGTTCAATAGCCAAAGCGCACGAACATTTCTGACGTTTGACCGAACTTTGTTGTTGTTCCAGTGCTGCAGCTGCATCAGCATCAGCATCAGCATGAGTATCAGCTGCCTGCTCCTCCGCTCTTGTGGCTAATGGTAAACTGGCGCTGCTGGGGAGGAGGTAATAGGCACATTTGCGCCCCCACCCAATACGCACCACCCGAACCCCTTCGCCACGCAGCGCATGCAGGCCAGTCACTTATTTTGTAACTACATGCGCCAACGAATGTCAAAAGCACAAAAATTTCAACGAGGATAACAGGCACGGACGCATGCTAATCAGGACAATTAAGTTAAAAGCGGTACGGATGCAGCTCCATTGGCGTCTGCTCAAGAGGTTTTAACTTAAGTTCAGCTGGCCTTCACCGCTATTATCACAGATTCATATACTAGGGGATTAGACGTTTAAATAATGCCCACTTAAATCCCCACTCACTTGTTTATGAAAACGAAAATCCCAAGTTGTCATCTTTTCTAGTTGTACGCAAAAGAAATTTAACAATTTGTATCATTAGCATAAGAACACATCATATGTGTTATTTGAGTCCCTAGTTAGTTTGTGATGCTCATGAGCTTTTTCGTAGGTAATAAGGCAGAGTTGTTTGCCAACACATTTGCTCGCCATTGAGAAACTTTGTCTGCCTCCCATCGACCACATCGTTCATAAGGCAACTTATCTTGGCAAATGGAAAATTCTCATTTGCCTCCTCTGCTATTGACTCGATTACAGTGGATTCCATCCGTCCCCGATTCCTTGTGTAGGTTCTATTTCATCACATGCACGTGGAGCTGCTTCCAGAGTTTGAAAAGTGAAGATTGCGATATAAGGTGGTCAAATGAGGTGCTGGGCCGGGTGGATTTCTAGTCGAAGTAATCTGAACACATCCGTTGAAGCAGCTCCTCGTGGAGGGTCGTCCATGACAATTAGAACGGTCTTCGCAGACTAAGGCATTTTCATCCTGCTCATCCTGTCGCTGCTGCCAATAAAAGTGCATATTAGAAGGGTTGGAACTCCCCTCGTTTTCGGATGTAAGATAATCGTGCTCGGATCGCCCAATTCGCAAATACGACCCATGATAAGAAGAATTCTGATTCACGATTTCCAGCTGTTCCATCGGCTTAAAGAAGCACCTTCGGTAGCAAGCCAGCTTATTGAGCCAGCTTATCAGCGACAAAAGTTCCGGCCAGGGGATCAGCAGCACTAGGCAGGTCCACCCAAAGCCCCTGTGATCGGATGCAGTGAGGATCAGCCAGTAGGAGGTGCCCCTCAGCAAGCGGGCATGCAGGCGGCGGACCAGAGTGCGCCGCCACAGGAAACAGAACCGCTGGCAGGCGGACTTGACCAACCAAGCGCCTCCGACCAGCGCCATGGTTATCACAGTGGGCCGCTCCTTCAGCACCAGCTTGAAGTTCACCTTAAGCGTTCCTAGGCGCGGGAGCCGCTCGCGGTCAGATGACATTAGGGCGGCTGCGACCGCCAATACACCCGCCAGGTGGGCGCCCAAGGCCGCAGCTGAGCAGTAGAAGGCGAGCAGTGAGTCCGCCAGGAGCGGACAGCTTAGCCACAAAACGAGGCCAAAGGTGAACTGTGTCACCCGCTCAAGGTCGCAACTGATCACTTCGAGCGTGACGACGAACGGCTCGTCTGTGTAGATGCCGTAACAGGCGTGGTCATACGTGGCCATCGGAACGATCCGTGGCTCGTCGGCGGAGTGCCACAGTGGCTTCCCCTCATGGTACTCGTTCAGCTGGCGCAGCGCCTGGTGGACTTCCCGCACGGTGGCTCCCGTATACTGACTGTAATCTCCGCCAGCGGTTATTTGCAATAGCAGGCGGTTGCTCTGGAAGACGTTCCACATGGTCAACGCTGTTGGCGGCTGACAGTAGACCTGGATCTGGTTGTGCACGTACTGCATGTTGAGCATCGTGTGTCCATCCTGAATGTGGGGCTCACCAGGACGCAGATACGTCGCCTGCTGCTCGTAAAACGCATCATTCCAGCTAACAAACGACGCTGCTGCATTGAACAGCCCAAGGATAAGGAGAGCAAGTAGTGGGGGCTTCATTGAATGACAGTGTTTATATATTAAATATTTTGGATCCAAATTTCCTTTGATATGGGGCGGGTTGCTTCGATGGAATTAATCTAGTAAACATAGTATAGAAATAGTACATATGGCATAGCGCTTAGCGAAAGATATATCCATATCTATCGGTTAAGTTTGTGTTTTGCAACTGTTCTTAAGCTGCAGCAGCTTTATAGTATCAGATTGGCGTAAATAGGGAATATTTGCCAACGAAAAATGTGCCTCTCTCTTAGAATGCCAAGCTGCCTTCTACCAGTTAGATCTTTTTTTTCAGGACGTTCGAATCCTTTGTGCCCCATTTTCCTTCAATTTTTCGTTGCCATTCCATTCTACGTCGTTCGTTCCATTTCTTTGCATTTCCATAGCGACTTTTTCAGCGTGGACTAGCGAAATGCGTATGGGCTGATGACTGACTTCGGACCACGCGTACTAACTACTACGAAGGACATAGGGCACAAAAACTCACTACGAGCGTGGTACTACACGCCAAACCCCCTTCTCATTTTTTGTTTTTTTTTGCCAGAAGTCAGGGGCAACAATGAAGGAGGAACAAAATAAAACACGGCGCTCGTTCCATCAAAGTGGAAGTCGCGGCCTGCAAAGGATATAAAGGCAAACAGAAAGTTGGACAAAAAAAAAGAAGAAAAAACACGAGGAAAGTCTAATAAAGCAAGGAAAAGCCGGGAAAGGAAACTGGGGAAAGGCAGAAATCCCCGCACAAAGTGGCAACCGGAAACTAACAACAAACACTGAATGCAGGAGCAACCGAGATGGCAGATGCATATATGTATGTGTGTATGTACATCTGTGCGGGGGAGGAGAGAGCGGGGCGGCATGCTTTTTTGCATTATGGCCAAAAATCGAACTGGAATTTCTGCAATTTTTTCGGCCCGCTCCTTGTTGTTGCTTTTGGCCTGCTCTGCTGTGTGGCTATCATTGCGTGCGTTTGCAACGCATCGGGCTTTTTTTGGGCTGATGGCGGGCGGTGGGCGATGGGCGGTGGGCGGAGGTCTTGTGGGAGGGGCTGGGAGTGGGTTGGGAGACAGCCGGTGGCCTCATGCATTTTCCGTGTTTCGTATTGTGCGCAAAATAAATTGGTAAACAAGCGAGCGGGCCAGAAAGAGATGGGCTCCGGCGAGCGAGAGGGGGAATGTCCTGGTCAATGGCAATACATACACGACATCCGGATCGTACATAGTCCCCAGTGCAGTTGTGTGCAGGTCCTCGTTTTCCGACTGCATTTCGGTGTGTGCCTGCCCGCCCACTTCCACCCATTCGCTCTCTCTCGCTCTCTGGTGAATTGCACTTTGTCCCTCAGCTGCCACGACCCCCCCTCCCTCTACGCCGCCACCGCCAACCCCTTCCCCGTCCACGCCCCTTTTTTATATTTCTGGCCACCGAAATAGGCTGCGTCGCTGTCGCAGTCGCTGCCACCATTTTCACCAGCTTCGCCGTCCACGTTTCCATTCGCAACACCCTGCCACCCTTTCGGCCCCCACCAAATTTCCCAACTCCCCCCGAAAAACCGACCCACCCGCCCCCCGCACTCGCGCCTTTTCCCCACGCATGTATTTCAGCCGCCGCCGTTGTTGTTTTCCCGGTCGCTGCATTGGCTGACGCTTCTCGAGCACTGCTGTTGTGCACAGTGAGCCAGGAAACTATACTATCAGTCCAAACAAACATACCACTCTAACTGAATTGCTGCGCACAGTTTTCAGTGTGGCTATCCACACACCATTTAAGAAAGTGCTCTATAAAAAGAGTTGAAATGCTTGCTTATTATTATAAAAATATTACTATTAAAAAAATAAAACAGCTTCATAAACTACTATTGAATAATAAATATTCATTAAAATTAGTTGTACTCCATTTGCATGAGAGTAAGGAAGCTCTTACGCAGTGACCACTGTGCCAATCCAATCGGCAGTTGCGCCATATAAAACGATTGAAACAGCGCGACATTTCTGTTGCTGCTGTTCTTGCCACTGCTGCTGCAGCAACCTGGCGTAGTTGCTGCTGCTGTTGCTATGTGTGCCAGGCAAAAGGCCAAACGCATGTGTGGTCAGGATCCCAGCTGCCCCCCGAGCTCCGCTGCGTGCGGCGGAGTGCAGGACAAGGAACTCGGAGCACAGGAGTACATAAACTACATAGGGAGCGAGCGAGAACGAGGCTGAAAATCGAACACACTGCTCGGACGAGTGAATGAAACGAGCCTATGTACAAAGGCATCCTCTGCACATGGGAAGCGGGAAGGATATGTGTGTGGGTGTGGGCTTAAGTGTAGATGTGAGTGTGGATGAGGATTGGGGGCAGGTGGCAGGTGGCACGTGTGGTTGGGCGGTTGGGTGGGCCTACGCATCGGTAGCTGGACTGGTAGCCACCTCAACTGCCTCAACAGCGGCAAACGCATCGAATGCGCATCGAATCGAAGCCCAACGTTGATTGTATTATATTGGCAAAGTTCAGAGCGCTCTATCCCAGCCCTGGCCACCCCCCGCAACCCATCCGAGAGACCCATCCGATTCCAGCCGCCCACTGGCCATAACTCTGGTTGTCCGTCAGACATCAGTTGAGCGGCGTGCACTTAAATGCCACTGTGAGTGTGTGCGAGTGAGTGTGTCTATCTATGTGATGTGCCCCCTTCAGGCGGGCCCACATGCAGCAAATTGAATAAACTCCCCAAATCAAATTTTTCCCCATTTTGCCGAGAGAAAGAACTTTGACTGACATGCAGAGGAGTGTGTTGGCGGTGCCATCTGTGTGTTTCTTAGCCATTTAAAGGGTCAATGAAATGCAAAAGTCGGCAATGTTTTGGGCTCCTTTCCAACTGTGGATCCCAACAAACCGTTTCGCCTCGCCGTCCAAGCTCAATTGTGTCATCTTTCATTCTGATGGGCCAGATGGTTTTAATTTCGAAAAATATGGCCCCTCATCCGATGGGTAAAAGTTGTGCTGGGGCCTTTATAGACATTGTTTATGTTTGCATAGGTCATTGGTCGACATCATTCCTTTACTGCCTTGAATTTATATACAATCAGATTTTTTCCCTATCTCTAATTACTATTCGATTGCCCCTAATAGTGGAAGATAGTACGATGTTTGCTAGCTATTGCATATATGAAGGAATCTACGGAATTATAAATCATTATCTTGCTATTTGAAGTTCATTTACGATTGGCATAGTCAATAAGCAACTGGTGTAGTTTTAGATGTGTATATGACTATAGCAGTACAAAGACATCCTGCAGACTGAACTCCAAGCTCCTGACTCTAAAATGCCTTTGTTTCAAACGAATTACGTTTAAATATTTACTCTTTTCCCCCACATTTAGGTTGTTTGCTGTCTCTGTGTGAGTTTGTGTCCTGAGTTGGCTTCATTCGGTTGAAGGTCGAATTACCAGAGCATTTTACTAACTGTTCAGTTCGCCGCCCTTGCAAATTAAATTTAAGGCCAAAAATGTATTTTGTATACACGTATACATGAAATGGGTCAAAAGTTGTTACAGCTTTTTCACTACTCTGGAGAAAGAGTTAATTTTGGGAGTGGGGAGGTTTTTTCAGTTTGTTGATATTGTGCGGGTGTTGTTGTGTTCTTGTTCAAAGTTTAAAACATGGCTAGCCTAAAATGTTTGTGCAGTCAACGCTCGAGAAAACTTTTCAGTTGCCTTCTTTCAGGCACCTTGACCTACTCGTGCAACTTTGTTTGTTGTCAAAAACGTTGGTTTTATTGGTCCTTGTTGCTGTTGTTGCTTGTGGGGCATCCCCAGGAAAATCTTTGTCTGTGTGCCAGACGGAAAGATTGACCAAAAAGTTCAGTCTACATTTTGTGTGCAGAATGCGGAATGGTAATAATAATTTAAATTTAAACAAAGGTTCAGTTCGTCTTCGAGCGCAGATGCATTTGTGATTTGAATTTGTGAGGACACACAGTGAAAGCACGTTTTGGTCTACTTGGTTGAGAACTACTGTTGCCTGTTTAGCCTAATTATGATATAAAAAATCAGATAGAGGGAAATCCATTTGCTCAAAATTTGAAGCCCAATCATTTGCAACTTTGCAATCATTTGTTACTCTACAATTGCAAATCTCATCCGACAATCGCATGCACATTCTTAAAACGCAACAAGTTTGCACTCCAACTATTGCAATGACTCCAACTCTTGCACATTTAATGAAAGTTATATAGAATACCAAACTAGATTTTATGCCGCCCATCACTTGACACACCCACAAAAACAGACGCTCACAAGGACACAGGGGACTAGTAGAATGGCAGGACGATGGCTTTTTATATATTTTCCCTACTCTTCCTTTTCGTATTTGGCAAAGATAAAGTTTTGTAATAAAAATGTCTGCTGGCAGACAACGAGAAAGTCCGGGAGGACCGGGCGAGTCATCCGGCCGGGCAGACATTCTGTCTAGCACTTTCCAGCCCGAAGTGTGTCAGCAACTTTGGCACGTCCTCGACATCGTCGTCGTGAGTGTGTCCTTGCCCTTGGCCCACACACACATGAAGCCGCATTATATATAAAAGCAAACATACATTTTAATATATGCATATGCGTGTGTAGGAGGAGTGGACTTTAGTTTTATGCAGCTCTCACGGATTTTACGGAAAAACAAACTTTACACATTTGTCGACTGCCTAAAACGTTTCCTGTTAATCAGTGTTTGAAATGCTGTCATACCTTAAGTTAGACTAACTATTTAATAATTTATTAAAAAATATCCTCTACCCCCCAAATCAATCACATTTACAATCATTTAATTTAGGTTTATATTTTTGGTTGATTTGAAATTTCGATTTACATAATTTCACATTTAAATATACAAAATTCACACACATTCTATGTGATTAAAAAAGTATGAATTGTTCGAAATAGTGTGAGCTGATCAAATAATTAAATACGAAATTTGTGCTTGTCAATGAGTACGATTTGTTGTCCTGTGTATTATAAATATTATATGTGAGACACCCT